TATGGGACAGATCATGCAAAAGTACTAAATTGTGCATATTACTTTTTGCACTGCAGTGCTTAACTGGGCATGTTGGTAGCTTGTAGGTATTGTCCCATAGATGTTATACTATTTTTTTTTATATAATCACCTTCAAAACACACCCTTGAATCCTCTGATTATCATTATCACAGCTACTTGTGCTGTTTGTGATCTACTGATTTTTTTATAAGTCTATTTTAACGCTTGTCTAACAATTATATAATGCTTGTTTTTACTTGTTCAGTTGCTGTATCTATCCTTATACTTCTTTAATTGTATTCATATCCTTATTTTACCCTAGTGCATCTATTTTATTGTGACAGAGCAAATCAAAAGTAGAGAAGAATCAAGCAATGGAACGTATCAGCACTTTCCAATTGAGGTTCTTCCTCTTTTAAAACAATCATAGATTTAATAATCAACAAATTAATGATCATGAAAAACATCATGAACAAGCCAATTTCTATTCAGAACATCAAAAACAAATAACACTCGTAATTTCAAAAGGCAAATAACATTGTAATTTCAAATCAAAACGTTAAAAAATAAATAAAGAACATTCGTATTCCCTTACCTCAAATTTGTAATCTCTGAAAAAATTTGTTCCACCTAAAACCTTTGAATGTTGACAACATTGGACTGAGCTTTCATAGTTTCAATGTCATGATTTAACCGTTGCTTCCAGTCATAAAGTAAAGCCTCGTCCTGTACAAGTTTGGAAGCAAAATAGATATTTGATAGGTAAATAGCAAGTTAGCAACATTATAAATTGCAAAATCAAATGAGTATAACATGATACACTGATACCTGAGGCAACTGTACAGTCACTTTGTTTGGAAAAAGGCGATTAAGTTGCTTCATGACTGTGGGTTTCTTTGCTCCTATCATGCAGTCTACTCAAGTTATCCTAAACAAAGGGTGTTAAGTATATTTCTTCATGAATAGAAACAACTTCTGGACAAGTATATAATAGAACTGGGGCAAACCTTAAACATTTCATTAATTGCAACTTTGCCAAGGTCATCCACTCCAGAGCCATCTACTCGTAGTAAATGATTTGCTGCAGTATAAATCACAAATGAATTATACGTGCCAAAATTATATAGTGCAGTGTACTAATATGCAACTAAAGAAACAGAAGTACAATCAAATACATTGAATTACCAGAACAAAAGAACCCACGATCATCTTCGCAAAGGCCACCAAGATCATTGCCATCTGGAATTGATTTATCAAACCTAACCCCAATTTTTGAAGCCCTATTATCTTCAAAAGCCGGGAGAACTTTGCCCCAAGAGCCATAGCTTGGTCCCCTGCTTAATATAAAAGAGGGAAAAAATCCATTTGCCAGACCAATAAATTAAACTAATGGACTAGAAATAGAAAGAAGAGAGGAAAATAACTAGTGGGAGAATAAAATATCCACCCAAAAAAGTAATTAAAAATGTGAAAAAGAAAAAAAAAAAATAAGTAAGCAAACAAGAAGAGTAAGAAGAAATTGAAAAGATGAAAGGAGGGCGAGATCTAACGATGCAGAAAAGGAGACATAATAAGACATACCATTCTCCTTGGCCTTGGATTCGTGCAAACAAAGATGAGAAGACACACCTGCCACACAAAATGCTTTCCTTATAAAGTTCACTCAATATGCGTATACAACTCACACTCCTTTACCTCAAATTCGTAATCTCTGAAAAATTTGTTCCACCTAAAACCTTTGAACAAAAAAATCATAATGAAATATTATACATAGCAAAAATAGGGAATCAAAATAGATATGAATCGAAAACTCACCTTAAATGGAAGCAATCAATCGAAAAACAACGCAGAGAAGAGAAAATTTAAAGAAGGTCTTGCGAAATCACTAACCCTAACTTGGACAATTTGCGAAATGGTTTTATCGCAAATTAGCTCCCGTTATGTTGAGCGTTTGACGGAAGCAGAAGAAGTTTGGGCGTGAAGCGAAGCCGAGCATGCTTTTTTTTTCTTTTTTTGATTTTAAGTTCTTCTAACTCTTTATTTTTATTCTTTTAATTCTTTTAATAACAATAACAATATAATTTAATTAAGTTGTCCACGTGAATATTATGATAGTTTTATGGGGGTTAGAATAACCGCTAATTTATAACACTTTTTGGCGGTTTATTAAAACTGCCAGAAAAAAACCGTCATTAATTAACTAATTTTTTGTAGTGCATTAATTGTAAGTTTGCCACCATGAGTGGCTTCTTCTTGGTCAAGACAATCTGTTCAAACTCTAAGTGGAAATTATATTGAGATGTTGGGGTATACTAGTGTAAGAAAACTTGGTATAGATGAATCTAATGGTCATTTATAATGGTGAGTGGTCCACCCTAAAACCTGCCATTAAAAAATTAGAAAAATTATAAAGACTTAAAAGGCTAATTTAACCTATTTTTTTATTTAAATATATATACTTGTATACCATTGTCAAGATTATTTAATATATGTTTTCGTAAAAAATATATTAATTAAAGAAAAAAGTTAGAATATGTTTTTGTCTCTTAAAATATCTCAGAGCCCTTAATTATAAAAATTTAAAATATTTTTATTTCTCATCACATTAACCAAAAGTAATTAGTACCTTGCTAGAGACTAAAATATGTGTTTACGTTAAAATAAAAAACTAAAAACATATTAAATTTTTATCAGTATATACTAAAACCGAATTTCCAAATATTTTAAGAGAAAACAAAGATACTTAACCATTAAAAGAATATAGATCGTAGTTTCTTTTACGAAAAGCATAGATGGTATTTTTTTCTCATACAACCTTAAAATGCATTTATAAAATTAATGTTCATTTTTAAAATAGCACAATATAATTTCCATGGACAGAACAACATACGAGGAAATTCATACACTAACCTATTATTTATTTTCTGTATACAAAATTATCATGTATATATATATAGATCACCATGACATGTTTACTGAATATGTAGTATTTTTTTTTTCGGTGAATGTACTGGGCAAAAACACCCCCCAGCACCAAAATCAATTGAAACTCAATAACAGTCACTTACAGAAACTTCCTACATGAAAGAGGTAATACCAAAAGAATTGAAGTTATTGAATTCAAAACAAAAAAAAAAATTACAGTTATTATTTAACGATAAACTAAACTTATCAAAACTATCTGCCAAAGAATTGGATTCTCGATCAACATGAAAGGCAAGTTTCACTTTTATCAAAAACTATATATGTAGCAAGCTTACAGTAAGTAATATATAATTCTTAATATTTTATTAAAATCGAACATTCATAATTATTTTTTGTGTTATCTATAATTTTTATTAGCGATTAAATTTACAAATTTGTGAAACACATTTTACATGCGGATTTATCCGTAATTATTAAGAAAAAAGAAAGAGCAGGGGTAGACAGTGGTCAATACAACAAGTTTTAGCATCAAAAGAAACCAATTAAAGCAAGCATATATTCGTTTGAAGTTAACTTAAAAAATGATAAAAAAAAAAGAAAATAAACAAACTTTAAAGGAAATATTATATCATTTAATATAGTAAAACAACTACAAATACTAATACAAATACCGATATTAGTTGACAAAAAAATAATGACTTATATTATTTAAATAAGTTATCCAAAGTTTGAATCCAAATCTTAAATATGGACTTAGAATATATATTTAGAAGAGAATATGTGTTCTCGGTGATGATGGAGATTAAATTTGAGTTCTGAGCATTTATTTATTTAATTTTATAACACTTTAAATTATGTAACCACCATCCACAACCATAATCTGTCCAGTGATGTGTGAAGCTGCTGGAAGGCAAAGGAAAGCAACAAGTGGAGATATGTCCTTTATTTCTCCAAGGCGACCACCCGGTGTTTGAGACACCATAGCCTCAACAAATTTATCCATTCCATCAGCACTTTTCTGTAACAAGAGCATTATATAGAGATTTTGAGCACAATAACCCAATATAAAAGTAATTCACGGGCAATAATCCCCGAGTCACCAACAATATATGTTTAAGAAACAAAATCAAATATTTTATTTAGGTTTAATTGTGCTTATAGTACTCTTACTTCCTCAATTTGGTGAATTTTATCCTCACATTTTCTCTCAGTTTTGATATCCTCTCGCTATTTTAATCGTGTAATTTTCAACATTCAATATATCAACATGGATGTATTGACGGTGTTCATATCATTATTAGTCTACCTAATAATTCAATATTCAACATTTAATAAAACAGCTGATGAGACAGTGTAATAGATGTCAAATCATTGTGGATGTATTAAAGTAACATGACAATACAGTAGAAATGTAGAATAGATTGTCACGATAATATTTTGCTAAATTGAATCTCAAGTTATTAAACAAAATTGCCCAATTAAAATAACGAGGGATCAAATTTGTGGAATTAAAACAAATAGCAAGACCAAGAGTGTGATTAAGCATTTTATTTATATGTTAAAGAATAGTGTGTATAATATTTATAAAAATAAGTAAGTTATGATCAAGACGTGAAGTTTATGATAGTCTTATATATATATATATATATATATATAAGATTATGTGGCATGTGGCTGAATGGTCATTATGTGGCTAGCATATGAAGAATAATATATATTCTTTTTCAAGGTTGTGCTTTTGAGATGGTAAGTCTTCTAGATCTAATTAAAGTGAAGTCTTGGTATATTGGTACTGCTAAGGCCGGAAAGGTCTCTCTTTCTTTCTCTGGTTTTTGAATCTTATATCTTGTTTTCAAGATAGGTGTAAAAACACAAACTCGTGGGTTTAAGATCCCTTTATTTTTCATTTTTATATATTCCTTTGTCTATAAAAAAAAATTAGAAAAATAAAAAATTTGACTTCCCTTTCCATTTCCTATAAAGTTTCCTTTAATAATATTTATATATAAGAAGTATATTCAATAAGAGTTCGTCATATTGTGAGAGATGAGAAAAAAAATTAAATCATAACTTTTAGATTATAAGTAAAAATAATTAATAACTAAGATTAAAATTCAATTATAGACACTTACTTATTATTATTCTTCTAACACTATCAACATTATCATCAACTATCACACTGGTACCATCACTAGTATTATTTATTATCATTATTGTTGTTGTTATTGGTTGTGATAACAATAATAATAGTAGTAGTAACAACAATAATAATAATAATATTGGTAGTATCATCACTGTTGTCACCATTGTCAATAATAATGGTGTTAACAACAATTATAACAATGATGATAGTATTACCAATGATATATAATGATAATGATGATAATAATAATAATTGTGACAACAAATGAGAGTGATGTTGATAATTGTATAAAAGATAATAATAATAATTTTATAAAATGATGTTTATAATCAAATGTTAATCTTAATAATTAATTATTTTTATTTATAATTTAATGACTATGATTTCCTCTTCTCATATTTAATAATTAAGACATGTTCACATTAAATATGTTCCCAATATATATATA